ACACCAAAAACGAAGGTGCTTTGTCCTACAAAATCGATTAATTACGCTTAAATTACTGGACTTTAAGGGCAATGGACACTTAAGGACAACTAGTACCAAGCATTATCGTCTACCGCAAGTTTGAATAGGTCGAGGACGGTAACGTCTCATGACAGTGGTATAGAAAAGTAGAGATCAGAGCCTTAAGGCCCAAAATTCCTTCGATGATATCTATTACAGTAGTTATGATATTCTGTATTAAACTACGTGGTTGGTTCCTCAACAAAAATACTGACAGCAGCAACGGTAGTTGTACGAATAAAAGTTGTTGTGGCCAGAGCATCTGCATCCTACTCGTATCAAATCTGACTAAAAAAATTACGGAACTAACATTTTCAAACGTTGGTCGGATATGGCAGATTCGGGAGAGCACCCGCTCAATGCAGAGCGATTCCTCACGTTAGCCTCATCAACAACAGTGTACATATTCGGGAATCAAATGATGTGCGTTGTAAGGCATGCTATTCCTTTATTAACAAAAGATAATCAGCCTCTTAATAATCATGCGATCTTCGGACCAAAGAGTCCAAATCGGAACCGTACAGCTATCAGAGATAATACGTATTCGACCTTTCATTGGATTTACCGAAAGCAGCCGGTTGTCTTGAGCAAAGTGGTAAAGTTACTTCCAAAAGTAGAATGTATTCTTGAACCAAGCCGTGAAGTTGCTCCACCAGTCTTGATGACTACCCTCTTTACAAGGAGACGACGTGCACAAACGTTCTTCTTGATCAGAAGTGAAATCTCTCAGCTGACGAGGATCATCGTGTGGATCGGGTACCAATGTCCCCCTGGTGTCGATGTTCACGTCAGCTTCCGTGGTTGCGATCAGTGCGAACAAAACTAGAACTCCCAGTAGCAGATGCATAGTTGAATGATTTACGAGCTCTGGAAGTTGCTTGTTCACTTCTGGGCGACGGATTCTAAAGTGAGTGGTCAGAAACGAGAAATGAGCACCCCTGGTACCGTGAACATGGTACCTGGTTTGTGGTGTAGAAAAGGTCAAGGAACTGATCCCTGATTTTCCTTCATTCTCAGCTCGAAGGTTGAATATACTACCCGTACTGTCTTGCACAGCTCTAAACCGAGGAGAATGCTACTACAAGTCTCCTCTGTTAAGAACGCTTGTTCAGAAGTCAAGAATGTTTATTACTGACGAAGGAAGGGTAACCTTCCTTACTGATACTAAAATATCAAAAATATCGCGGAATCGAAAATAAAACTATTGTGCATTATGCAGGGAATGCTATCAAATCTCGGTATGGTATACGATTGATTCAAATGTATGGTTTCGACAAAATCAGAGCGTAGAAATAGTAGCCACGAGGCAACTAGCATCCTTATAATACCTATCTACAGTCTGCATCTATCTATCTACATGTATTAATATATCACTGTTGTTTGGAACTTCCCACCTTGGAAGTGCACGGGTTGAATTCATGACATGTGATAGGTACGACTCGGACCATGATACTGTTCCGGCAGGATGCAATACTGATTATAATAGGAACAAGACTGTTAAAGGGGTAAACATCTTGGTCCCAAGTAAACAACATGATAAAATGATCTGGAAAAACTGTTCAGCAAAAAGAAATGCGGTTAGGGTTCATCATCCAGGTTTTGCTCTTTGCCTTTCGATTACATAAAACACCTTAGTTTTACTGTAAGACGATATTTGATTGATAAAAGACTTAAAGTCATGTACTGTAGTATAGGTCTGGACACCTGTGTCTTCAATTTAAACAAAGACAGCTGTCAATTCTTGCCATATTCTTTGTCGCCAACATATGACGGCTTTCTGTAGAAAACAACCTAGATCTTCATTGCTTCTCGCTTTGCGGCACAACCGATCGTTTCTTTATTTCGCTCTGGTGACGTCGAAACTCGACAAAGTCAGTCCACGTTGCTGGTTTGTATCAGGCTAGTTGGAAAGAATACACGCACAAATAATCAAGTTTCCTGTGCGGTACAGCCAGATGGAGTCGATACGCGTTTCTTATCCACTACTTACGGTAAACTGGATAGTATCCAATTTACCGTAAACTGAAGCACTGTCTGAACATCCATTACATGCACGGAAACTTTACGTACATGTAATGGATGTGCAGATGGTGCTTCAGTTTAATGCCGCACTGTACATGTATCACAAAACGAGTGCACACGCAACGCTGTCAGCGACAACGGAAACATTAAGTTTCCATTCTTCTTCACCTCCTTCTTCTTCGACCGAACAACACGCGATAACGACGAAGGCATCTATCAAGTTCTGGCTACGGCTACTCTAGCGACGAGTGCTGCCAATGCTTTGAAGAACGACGTCCTGATGGGTGAGCGCGTTGGCAAACCCCACAGAAAAAAATATACTCGGACTTGGACGAGGTTGGTTCCGACATCCCATTACGATCCGCACGGCTAGAGATGTCGATTTTGTCATGTCGGGGAAAAGAAGCACGATCCATCACGACGGTAACGGTGGTGAAACGAACAAACTAACGCTAAGGAAAGAAGAGCACATTGCGCACTGAGAGGCACAATGGGGCAACGATGGCGACCTTATCGAGTACATCGCGTTCACCACTGACAAGCAGAGAACCATCGCTGGTGGAACATCCACGGGGAACGTTCACAAGGACGACGCACCGAAGGGTTACCGACTGGGCGGATTCGAGGGATTCTTGGGAAGAGAGGTGTTGGCGTCATCTGGACAAGCATTAAACTACTGGCTTACCCGCGCGCTGTACCGGTCGGGAATCATGTTAAAACGCCACTTCATATGGGATAGGTCGCAAATAACAACAGAGTAACTTCACAAGAATGTCGAACATTTGCTTACTTACGGGTATTGTTCAAGGTGTCCATATTAAAACTGGCGCTCGGTGTTTACATACTAGAGTAGATAATAATTGTTGATCAACGGGTACATATTTGTTAATCTCTAATACGAATATGTAGGTTACCAGAAACTAGCCAAAGTTACGGTGAGTCAGTAGCCGTAAAATGGAAGCTGAATTCATATTTGTCAACTGCTTATGAATTTTAATGTTATTACTGTTGTGATCTAACAACTCGATAGACCACATAGTGCAAAAATCATGAAGAGGAAGATCTATCGATCAAGAAAGAGAGAACAACATGAGACGAGTCCGAGGAATATGCCTTGGACTTTTAGAGCAGCGTCACTGTTTTCAGGTCAAATATGAAGACAAGTTGTCAAAACAAATATCAAGTGCTGTTATGAACGAGTTTAAATTGGTTGGAATAAAATAATTGCGGCTAATGTTCAACAGGAACCACCCTCACATCGGATTCTCATAGGTAGTAAGAATGTGTTGGACGGATGACAGAACCGAACTTAAGACAAATTTTGATTCAGGAAAACGAACTTAGTGGTTGTTTAGAAGAATCAAGTAATTAAGGATGGACGATCTTGTGGATGAAGTAGAGGAGCTAAGAGGAAACGTGGTGAACAAGATGTCTAAGGACATCTACGCGTACGGCATTACCAAGTTCATTATTTGGCTACACCGTCATATGTCCGAAATAGCTGCACCCCGGCGAAGTGATCAACTGAATGAAGTCAGGGAGGCAGATGATTCGCTGGTCCTAAAGCAGAAGAACGCATGTATTAAATTATTCATGAAGAATAATTTCAGCAAGTACAAGTGGATCTTACGCGGAACACTTCAAACAATTTCGAATATTTTCCTATGCCGCTACGGAAGAAGGAATTAAAATGACCAAGTATATCTGTAAACAGCTCGATGAGATCGAGTCTGATTCATTTGTACCGCATCTACAACGTAAATATGCCTTTGGCTTTTGATAACGATCTGAAATGTTTTTATTCAAAGCATTAAAGAGACCTATTGTGCGCCGACAAGCCCAAGAAGGAGAATCTTTAGTTGAGGTCTAGATCAAGTTATCTTTTTCACTGTATCAGTTTATATGTAAGGAAATGCGACAACAGACCTAGAAAAGTTGTTTTGGTGCGTACGATTTCGATGATTTCGTGGAAATTAATGTGTCGTGTTCGCAATGCCGTTTCCATTCGATTTCAACTTCTTGACTCGGATGAAGATGCACGTGCTATTTGGCTTGCACATGTAAAAATCGATCAGGAGGGTGACCGACAGTGCGACCCAAGACAGGTCTACGCTAACCCCAAGGAAGCAGACATCTACCCAATTCTTGCTTTGACTATTTATATTACAGTGTTTGGATTCAATTCCAATTCTCTATTCTTTCCAGGTAACAACCAGAATGATCGATGCAGTAAAATACCCCGGAGGCCAATGAACGCTACATTGGTAGCACGCGAACTCGAGGTTTCTGGTCGTGTAAAATCAGATTTCGGATCGCATTCTGTTCGTAAAGGGACATCATTCTACGTTTCCGGATGTTGTACGGGTGGGCCGTTACCTGCCTCTATTTGTTTGAGGACGTGTTGGAAATTGGCGATAATGTGTATCGGACAGAAGGAAGAACCCGGATCAAGGGGCTCTCGCTGGATAATTGGTGTATTTCTTCGATATCTGGGTTGGCGATCTGACTGGCCAACAAGCTATACTTATTACGGGCTTCATGGTCTTGTCTGGATCTAGCTCATGGATCAATCAGCTTGCCCGATGAAGTCCGGATCCAGCTCAGCGGAAGACGCCAACTCTTTAGCGACAAAAGCGAAGATCGTAAATGTCGGAGTATATATCCGGATCCAAGCAGGCGAGTCGATGGAGCTGCCATTACGCCTGAGATCGTCGATCCACGACAAGCTGAGGGTCACACGTGAGAATCAATGGGTACCAACCATATCCGATGGGCCGGGGAGGACAAAGTACATCTCGATCACCAACATCGGGGACGAGGTGTTGATCCTACATCAAGCTCAGCGGATTGGGATCTGGTTGGCCGGGAATCACGTGCCGCGACTACCAGGTTTCATCTGAATCGGGGCTCGTCGTTACATGGAGCGGCAGAATCTAGCACTAGAAGTCCCGACAGACGCTGGATATGAAGAACTGAAGATCGAAGCCTCGCTGGAGACGGCGGTAGATCGACCCAAGTATAAACCTCCGCGCACAATACTGAAGAGGCCGAAGATGACGTCGATCAAGTGTCGGAAGATCGAGACGAGTCAGGATCAAGACGTTCCCGACTCCCTGCCTACAGATAACTCACCGCCGGATATTTCACCGTCGGAAAAACCGTCGTCGGAGATTCGACCGTTGGATCTAGCGTCTGTCGCACGCGAGGTTTCAGATCGGTCGTCTATCGCAGATGGAGACTCTATATCGCGTGCCGTAACGGTCAATGAGGCGCTAGAAGATCACGATCAATTTACGCCAGACGTGTGGGCGACCGATCCGTCGTTGGTAAAACAACTAGTGCAGTAGAGGGCTTGCAGAAGAAGGTCGGGATGAAGTTGGGCTTGCAAACTAGGATAAACTACATTCGAGATGTCAGGATCAAGGAACATCACCGTCGAAATACCGTATACCAGATCCGTCTTCAATGATGAGTGTACAAATCGGAGAAAAGTCATGTGGCTAGTGATCCGTTGAACGACAAGTCCGTCGCGTCTATGGCTAAAAAAAGCGGACATCGACCCACCACCTGCTGTTGAAGATCAACGAGACGGATCGGATGTAGACATCATCTGGGACTCAGATCAAGATTATGACGAATGTGTATACTACGACGAAGGAAGCGAGCTGTACGCGGAAGACGTCGATGACCAGATGGTGGTACTACTGCCAGAAGTGCTGTGACGACGGAGGATGTGACTACCGAGGACATTCCTCTATCTGGATCTGATAGCCAGACCCCAGACGAAATTGATCAACTTCGCCAAAGGAACTGGAAGTTCCGGCATTCTCTTGATCGGCAAAGGAAATACCCTGCCACCGGCCACCCGAGGTATTGTGTGCGCCATCGGTGTCGGAGAAGCCTATCCCCTGAAGTGTCGTAGTTGCGTATCCAGTTCAGGGAGAAGCAGGTGGACTTGATCAAAGGTCTATTATCTACCAAGAAGATTAATTCCTCTAGATCACCGTGGGCTTCCCTGTTCGTGATGACCATCAAGACCAATGGAGTGGATATCAGGTTGTGCATCGATTACCGGTTGGTTAACAGTCTAACACAGCTGATGACCCATGCCCTTGATCAATGACTTACTTGAAGATCTGGAGTCGACACTTTAGGACTGTTCTTTGGATATGATGAGTGGAGTTTGGGTAGTGAAGATGACGAATCGTGCTCGTTTGATATCGGTGTTTATTACTCTTTTGGATTATTTGAGTGGAATCGAATGCATTTCGGCTTGAAGAATGCGCCACAAACCGATCAACGTATGGTCAAAAATGCGCTATACGGATTCACCCGGATCCCGAAGTCTGAACATGATGGAGGTGCTTAGGATGTGTTTGAAGGCTGGGAACCGGTGGATCCAGACAAATCATTGGTGCTTGGGCTTAGATCATAAATCAATGACATCCGGGATCCCAGCCAATAACTGGGATCAGCTGTGTGATAGAGTTGGAGTATCTGGGTTATAAGGCCTCCCACAATGGACGGGAGGCGAATCCGAAGGATCTGTCGACATTGACTGATCTATCGTTTCCAGGATAACCTAGAATCATGCGGTAGTTTTAGGAAGTCTGAACTACTACAGCCGATTTATCGAAGACTATGCAATCTACGCATCCTTTTGTATGAATTGCGAGAGATCGACTTTGCCGCGATGATAACGGACATCAACCAAGTGCGGATCCAACAAGTGCTAGCGGGGAGAGTATGGATCCAGGATCACAGGAGGATCAAGTGATCAACCACCAAAATACTCTGGATTTGGAGCCACAGGGTTTCGCTGGAGTGACTCCACGTTGGATCCACGCCTCTCGATCCTTCAACGTGCTAAAGGCCAAGATCGTCAGAACTCCGATCTTACGAGACTTTGATCCAGATCAAAGTGTTACGGTTGTGGTGTATGTTAGCGACTGGTCCATTTCGGGATCGTTGGTGCAGGAGTATGACTACCCCGTAATGTTTGCTAGCAGTACCTTGAAGTCAAATGAGCTGAATTATGGCATCGCGGAGAAGGCGGTACTGGCCTTGCTGAGGATTCTAGATCTTAACACAATGCCTTGGTTGGACGTCCGCTCCATGTGCTTACCCGACACTCTGCTCTGCCGTGGCTGTTCAGATCCACAGCCGTGTAGGGACGGTTAAGTCGGTGGGATGACTTACTGTTGCCGTGGACTATCGAGATCACTAAGTGTGTCATGGGTGAAGATGAGATCCTGGGAGCATTGGCAGTGAGTATTACGCCTAGAGCACAGGTGGTTAAGGAGTTTTTCTCGATTTCCCGTACAACGGAGTTGAGGCGTATGATCCAGGCTCCGATCTCCAATTTAGGACGCGATGAGTATCTATACACTGTTAGTGTCGACGGATCTACTCGTGTCAAAAAAGGTGTGGCGCCTACAGCGCGATCTTGTGGAATGGAGAGTGTTAAAGGTTAGATCTGGCTACGCTGAAGAGCTAACAGGTAACGAAGCTGAATTTCATGGATTGGTGTTTATGTTTGGATCTGTTGGAAGATTTGGATCCACGACGTCTAGCGATCCGGGGGGATTCGAGCCTGGTGAGATCGATTGTAAGGCACCGGGTCTGACACTGCTACGCCTGATGGCTCTAGATTGCTACGAACGTGGCCGGATCACGAGCTGTGGCATGTTAAACAAGATTATGTGCATGATCTAGATCAACGTGATTGAGATGAATACGCCGAACGGCTCACCTTCGCGCTCAACACCGCGAGAGATCGGATCCGGTATAAAGCCCTTATCTACATGATACACGGTTGGGATCCTAGATCCACTCTGGAAGCAGTGATCCCGGTGGGAGCATCCGCAGACACGATCGAGAACGAAGAAGGTGGTGATATCGGATGCAAAATATTACCAACAACTCGAGAACAGGTAAATAACGTCTACGCGAAGCAATCGCGGATCGAGCCGACACACGTAATGATCGGGTACGCCCACATCATGAGGAGGCTGGATCAAGAATTTGTTTATACTTGAATCGAAGGATATGCTAAGAAACTGGCGCTCTTATGACATGGACCATTTCTTGTTGCTGAGAAAATTTGAGAATATGCAGTGAAGTTGGAGATTGCAGGAGCAACGTACATCATTATTCCAGTGGTGCATTTCTCCAATATCAAACCGGTCATGATTTTTCCAGATCGACCTGTAATTGTTCTAGAGGAGTCGGATGCATCCGATGAAGCTCTCTTACCTGAAGACAGTAGGATTTGAGATCGACATCGAAATGGATATGAACTAGACCGATTCGCCGAAATGAGGACGGGTAAGAGAACAAGGTATGGACGGATCTATCCACAATTCCTGGTACATTGGTATGAATATGATGGGTGGATGAAGCCGTTCTCAACTGCGGCGCTCCTCTTTATGATTTCCGGCAAGGCCGGGCTAATCGCAACCGGTTTGGTGTGATGCAGTCTCACGAAGAACCGTGAGATCTGAACCCATACTGATGAGCTGGTCATCGGTGTGGTCGAAGGTTTATGGATCCGCAAGGAAGTTGCAGATCGAAAGACACGGTTTACATGACATTGTATAGGACAAGGTGCCGATTGGAACATGTTTATTTGAGAGGTGAATATAGCAGCGAGCGAACGTGAAGTCTGAGTGTGGCTATATGACTACATTATCTGGGAGATTATGCACGAAACAACATGATTGAAAATTTAGAAGGATCAAAGAATGCGAACGATCAAAGATGAGAGAAGAAGGTAATGTGGCTTATGGTTAACAGCTATGATCTCGGCAGATCGCGCCTAAACAAGTCTGAATCATTGCTGCGGACGAAACGGTGGCACATTGGGATTCAACGCCGCCATGTTGATGAATTTGCCTACCAAACACGTGATCCGGCGAGCGTGGTGCAGCATGTAGTGAGTACGCCAAGCATCTGCAGCATCACACTCGGCAAGAGCCTCGATCAGGGATGCCGGTTCACGACGATGCAACTGACAATCTCCGAGGTTAGCTCTACGAGCGTCAATGTCAAAATACCTAGCCACTTCATCCGTCCGCTATGGGAAGTGGATAAATATGCATCTAGTAACAGATCCAGATCACACCAACCCTAACGCATAGCGATCATGAAAAGCTACAAATTGAGCTCCCACCTGGCGCCAGCGTGACATCGGTGATTCTTTCTTTCCACGACAATTAGCGCTAGATAGGGATCGCTGCGCACCACCCCTGGTGAAACTGGTAAGCGATGCGTAAACACTCACTACGCGTTCGGATCCTGAAACTCCACCGCGGAATATCTCCTGAAAAAGAATCCCTGGTGACCGTCGACCGTGATTTCAAATGACATCGGCTCAGAAATGCTGGCACCAATGAGGACGTTTCTGGGGAGAGCAGCCATAAGGTCGCGAACGTTCTGGTCTGTGATCAGATGACTGCAGTTTTGATCGGGTCTTGGGGTAGCCACCGGAGGAACATGACCGGGGAAGATCCACTCGGGGCGGAATGAAAACGCGCGAGACAGCACTTCCTGAGTCATGATATCATCGTCAAGGTGTTGGTCCGTTGGATCATCCATTAATCCACATCAGCGATGTTGTACTGACGGGTCTACTGACGGGTCTACTGACGGCTAGGGATACACTCATGATGTGCGGCGAACAGGTGTCGTGGCAGCATTGTGGATGGGGGAGGTACCCCAACTGAATCCGCAGGAGATCCGCCGTCGCCGTCATCGCTCGAAGCATCACCACTGGAATCATCACCCGATCCAGAATCTCCAGCTCCGCTTGCACCAGTGCGACGAGGGGCAGCATCATTGCGTCGCCGGTGCTCGGATCGCGATTGCGAGAGAGCCATCAGTGTCTGAGCCTGTAGCATATCTTCTAGAACCTCGTCATTGTCGCCTTCAACCAAAATGTCTGCATCTGGTCCTTGGCCCTCTGTCTCCGATCCTGCGTTCTCCGAGGGCTTAGGGCCAACTGCGGATCGGGACTTAGACTTGGAAATCGACTTGGAGGGGGGATCCGAACCCGCGGGAACACCAGACGTTCCTGTCCGTCCTTCTCGTAAATCAAATAGCGCTGCTCAGGGGTTGGATTACGCCTTGCAGCGCCGTCATCAAACTCCGGAAGTGGATCAAGCAAGTCGTGGCCTGGATCCGGCGTCTCCTCGATGTCAGAGCCTCCACCCAAATTGTAGTTGTCCAGATTTTCTTCGCTATCCAAATCTCTCTTGTGAATTTTAGTCACTGTGGGCTTGACCTTTGAGGGACGATCTGCGACCGTGGAAGAAGAGGGAGTACGGGATCGCGTGCCTGGCGGACGATCCTGGCGTTTATCCTTGGAAAAAGATCCATCGGACCCATCGGGTGGAGGCGAGTAATCAGGGTCTTGATCAGCATTTGCTTGAATCGACTTCTCTGGCTTGTTAGGATAACTCTCGGATTGCTCGTTGGCCGAGTACTTATCAAGATGGTAGTAGGTCTTGATCCAATCCCGAGGCCACAGTAGATAAGACCCCCAACGCCGTGCGCAATTAGAGCCGCAGATCCGTGCGCTCCTGATTGAGATTGCCAGTTGGCGAGTTAGAACCATGATCTTGGCCTTTTGTTCAGTGATCAAGCCCTCCTCGTTCGTGTACGCTGTCCGGGGGACAGTGACGTCGTGCTCTAGGGGAAGAGAAAGGAGCTAGCAAGTTGGTATGATCCAGATCTCGAATTAAGCACGTACTCAGATCTTCGCTCTCTTCGGGATATCCCTTCTCGCGCCTCCCAGCCCCGGCAAGATTAACGCTCAGAAGCTCACACCGTGACTGCTCCCCCTTCCTCCCTTTGGTACCTTTTTGGATCTGATCTTGGAGAGCGTCGGCCTCGCGATCCTTGACCTGGCCTTGGACATTAAAGGTGTCACGCTCATTGAAAACCTGATCGAACGAACCTGGAGTTCGACGTGCTCCTTTGTTAGGGGACCCGGGATGGCTTGGAAACCTGGAGATGGCTGATCCGGCGGGACTATGACTGCGATTTGTTTCTCAACCAACAGATCTGCCTCGGTCTGATCCGGGGACAGGCATGTGTGGCAAAGTACCGCTTCAGTAACTTGCAACTAGTCAGAGGCTTGATCACGGGCGCGATCCGCCGTGTCGTGCTGCTCTTGCAGATCCCGTATCTCTTCACCAGTGTGTTCCCGCTCTTGCAACAGCTGTACTTCAAATCCTCGATCTGACCTTCGAGGGTGTGCATATCGGCCCCACACGGTTGCGGATTTTTGGGAAGTTTAGTGCAGGAGTCCAGATAAACTTGCAATTCGTCTCGAACTGCATGGAGACCGTTGCTCGACTGCTGCATGGACGAGATCGCCCGGCCCTGTTAGTGGATGTAGTCGCGGAGGTCGTCCAGTCGATCTTGGTGCTCGGCCGACGGCGGATCTGAGCCTCGGGGAAGGATCTGAATAGTCAGAGCTGCTGTGAGCTAGCTCACACGACGGAAGAGGCGTGTGGCGTATCGGTGAATCTCCTCACCTGTACTACGGGGGTCGAAAGCAGATCAACATGATTCACCACTCGAAGATCCACGTCGGCTTGGGGCGTTGCTGGCTTTGGAAATTGCGGCGGTGGAGAACTGCGACGAGTGATGAATAAGAAAAAGTGTCTGCAGTGATCCTGTAGGACTACAGACAGGAGCATTTCCAGTGAAGTGGATTCCGGGAAATTACAGACGGGAAGTGACCGAGTCAAGTGGAGTGACAGCTAACCCCAGATCTACAGTAATTACCGTGGATCCAGATTTGAGAAGTTATGATGAACTCAGATCAACGGATTCTTGGGTAATTGTACCAATCTGGAGGGACCTAATATAGGCACCTGATTTGGGTATGGTTATATCGGATCCAGACATGATTATTCTGGCCCGTTTGGGATCTAGTAATCAAGGTATGTAATCAGGGTATACATAAATATTCGAAGATAAGCAGCTGCTGGGAAGGAAGGTACATGAATCCAGATAGTAGAGGATAGGACGAATCAGGAACAAAGGCTTAGGAATAGGGGAAGTCGAACTTGACAAAAACATTGCTCAGATTTCCCTCGTGGTCATGCTCAATTTCTGGAGCCTTTTGGCTGATGTCTTACAATTTTATCAGCCACCTCCGGAGGTGGCTGATAAAATTTTATGCACTCATTTTTCTGGTCAGAAGTTCTTATTCCCTCGCTCCCTCCTCATCGCCCTTTGCTGGTTGTGGTTGTGGAGTTCTGCAGGATCACATTTGAACATATCGTGTCGACCACCCACGAACGTTGTGAAAATGACAGAAGCGACTTTGCTGCAAAACTAACTAGTGCTAAACGCTGTATCTGAAGCTTATCGTGTCTATGGACACTAAATGCGATGCGGTCTCCAGCGCAACAAAAACAAAAGTACAAGCGTTCAAAGAACAACACCAACCGCCAACCGCTCACGAAACTCGTCTCCCTCTCGGATGCCTACGCGAAAAACCCCGCTGCAAAAACCGACTATCTCAAGCTGAAACTGGAACAAGAAAAACGACCATTCAACGCAAACCACGAAGCTGAAATGTCGCGCCGGGACGGTGAAGCCAAGCTTCGCCATGACGAACTAGAGGAGAGACGTACCCAGCGTCGCCACGAACTGATGTTGGAAATGCTTCGTCAGGGCAAGTCACTGGAAGAAATCGAGGT